TAATTATCAATTGCTATTTCTTCGTGTTATTCAGTCCACCGATCATTCAGTAACGCCGCTTTTAAAGGCAAAACACAACAACATCCCAGTATTGCTAACTCGTCCTCGCTGGCTGTGGATGGAGATCTCAATACGCGGAGTGAACTGGGCCCAGACAGTAACCCATGGTGGAAGGTAGACCTTGGCCGTAATGGCCTGGTGGCTGGTGTAAGACTTGCGCTCAATGTGACTAGCTATGGAGGTGATCCTGGGGTTGTTATAATTACGGTTGCGAACGAGACAGGAGACACTGGTGAATGCGCGAGTATAGACGAAGATGTCGTATATGAAGCCCTGGTTAACCATGTGGTGACATATTGCGATGTACCGTTGCTAGGGAGATATGTTCGGGTGGAGATGATTGTGGCTAACATCTGCAGCATAGCGAACTGTCAGTTTTCAATGTTCTTGTATGAGGTGGACGTTATGCTTGGTAAGAAATAAGCTTAATTGAGAAACGTTAAGACAACAAACACACGCCACACTGACTGCGGGAGTAATCCAAAACTTAATATGACTGAGGCGCGCAAACCGGGGGAGCGCAAAGGAGAAAAATAAGGGCTGAGGACAAGTCCATAAGAAATGCTGATCGACTCTCGTAGTTTTCTTCGCCTGCCTTGTTCTATATTTTTGCAGTTAACAAATCAAATGTGGTTTAGCGTTGTCTGTACTCTTATCGACAACGATATGCGTCATCACAGTGGTCAAGATGTTGTGGACAGGCGCAGCCGAGTGAGTCCACAACAAATTTTGACCGCTGGGATGACGCATATCGTTGTCGATAAGAGTACAGTCAACGCTAAACCACATGCATTCGATATGTTTTTTACCACAATATCAACGTCAAAGAAAATGTTTTTTCAGAGCGTGACCAAGAGCGTGACACATTGACGCGAGCACTCTTATCGACAACGGCAAATTAGCCAATCAGATTGCGAGATTAGTAGCAATTTTGGTAAAAATCATTGAAAATATAAGTGTCTTAGAAGGAATGTTTCTAAGGCACTAAAACAACGTAATGTTACCTTTTTCCTCCACAAAGAAGTCCGAAATGTTACTCAATCGATTATTTCAAACTGCCATTCTTTTCTACCGTTAGAATTTGGAAAGATGACTGTGAACGATTGTTCAATCCGTTTGGTCTGGGTCCTGATTTGCAGGGCGGCAGCACAAAATTGCATTTAATTACAGCAATGTTGCAAGGGTTCGCGGTTTAAAGCATTTTTTGTCGGAGTCAGTATCAAGTTTTATATGGCTAACTCTGCGAGAGGACGGGAGTAAAATAGGCGGGAGTAAAATAAATTGTGACCCTCCTCAGTCGTGACTAATGGACTCCTATTTGCATTTTCCACAGAACAGAGTACTGGATTTTATTACATAGAAGCTTCTCCTCCTCGCGTTAAAGGCGACATAGCTCGATTGATAACGCAACATATTTTACCAAGATTCAACTGTTTGACTTTCTATTACCACATGGAAGGAACATACATTGGCAAATTGAGTGTGTACCTCAAGAATTACAAGTCAAGTTCTAAAATTCTTCTGTGGAGGTTGTTTAGAGAACAATCAACCGAGTGGCAACGCGGAGAAATTCCCATTCATAGCAATGACGCCTTTAAGGTTCGTAATGGTTTGAAAATCTGAAGTCGAGGATGTCATCATTAGAGCGGTTTTTATTCGAGTGTCGAAGAGTAATTGGCTTTGCACTTACTACTTACTGCATGATTGGCTTAAAAAACTCGCGCCAATTTTTCAGCCAATCAGAAGTAAAACCAAAATCAATCGTGACGTGTTTGCACGCGTTTTCCCGCGCTTCGCGTCAGCTACGTGTAATTACTTCGAGTTTTGATTGGTTCACTGTATTGTTTGTGTCCTTTGTGATTGGCTAGAGTGATTACTTTGGTTTTGGTTTCAAGACAGGCAATTGAAAATCGCTCTTTGTTAGGAGCAAATGATTTGCCAAGATTCTAAAGATGGCTTACAAAAAAGAAAAGCTCAAGTATAACGTTTTCTCGTATTTTGTATTTTATTGCCTACACTTTATGGACACAGCACAGTTTTCCATTAGTTTCTTTTCAGTTCCATGACAAAGTCCTTTAATGTCTTTATTTACTTTTTCTATCAGATTATTTTTGAGGGAATCGTGAATGGCGAAAAAGGTGATATAGCCATCGATGAGGTGACATTTACAAGAAACCAAAATTGTTCCTTCAATCCGGATTTTGCTCGTTCGACGTATACAGCAGGTAAACAAACAAATTACAATATTTAGAGAAGAA